CATTCTGTGATTCTGTGTGATTCTGTAATAGTCCTATTTAGTAATATACATTCAGGAAGTTGGAGTGTTCAGGCTGGGCATGCAGGTTCAGCTTTGCTTTCTCATAATACTTTGTAATACATTATCAGAATCCTCTCAATAAAATATACTTACAGGAAAACAACTTAAAGTGAAAATGTGGTATTGCATTAAAAAGCTTTAAGTAAAGCTGAAACTTTCAGAAAATTTTACAGCTTTTTTAAAAATTCCACAATTCCCTAGGCAAGGTTTACCTAAATCAGTGAGAAGTATTGATATAACATAGGGAGAATTTTTTTCCCAAAGTGAGTGAATGACATTAATGTTTATGCACAATATGATGTTAAAGTCTGATGAGGGATTTGGGTTTTAATACATTGATCTATTTGCAAATGTATTGTCTTAGTTGGTAGTGGGACATTCTGCTTTGAATATTGTGGAGTGTGTTTTTCATGATAAAAGGTATGTTGATTTTGTGATGTTTGTAAGCAGGTCATTTTTCAGCATCTGCTTTTCAGTGATGTTTTGCAATGAGAATGATTACAGTAGCTTCACGTCAGGGTAGAACATCATGATTGATGCTATACCAAGGAGAACGTGGAATCTCCTAATGGCTTTAATAGTGTCTATTTCTTTGTGGAATTTCTTTTCATTTTCTTAAAACAATGGGAACATTACTGATTGTATAACCTTATCCTCTGTCTCAGGTCTCCTAGAAACCCTGAACAGAAGATCATTAAACGAGTGATTGCTCTTGAAGGAGACATTATCAAGTAAGTATTTTAAGCCTTAGTTTCTGAGTCTTTATAGGAGTAGTGCAGCTTTCCAGTGGATTTTAAATCAGTATCCTAGACAACGAGAACTTTCTAGTATTTTCTTTCTATCTATTCTTAACATGGATGTCAGCATTGTACCTGTCTCCTTTTTAATGAGAGGAGAAATGCTATACCAAACTCCTCACTCTCTCATGAAAGGTACATGGGTGCAAATAATGCTTGTTTCTTAGAACATCTCTGTCGTATATCAAGGCAGGTAATTGTACAGTATTTTTTCAATAGGATTACAGGACTGTGATTTTTCATGTAGACAGTCCAGCTGATGTTTCATACTGTGGTTGGCAAATAAAAGTAGGGTTTTTTTAAGGATTGGGGTTTTAAAAATTTTGTTCCAGATTTTTTAAAAATTTATTTTATTTATTTTTTTATTATCATTTATTTGGACTGTATTATTCTATCAGAAAAAAAATAAATTGTAGCAAGAATAGATTCTAGAGTACTTCAGGACTTAGTTTACTCTGACAGGTAGACCTTCCTATTGGGGCTGGTTGAAAATAAATTACTAGCAGATGTAAATCAAAAGTTTTTGTGGGAACAGTATTATTTTGATGAAAATGCTTGTTTGAAAGGGTTTCTGTTTCCTAGGTAGAGACTAGAATTGGCATTTACCTGAGAGGGTAAATCCCTAGAGGGTAAATCATTTACCTGAGAGGGTAAATCCCTAGTTTCCCACACTGAAATATGAATGACCTTGGAAACTCTCAGATAATATGGCAGTCTGAGACTCAATTAATTTAGATAATGATTCTTACTCTGGTGTAGTGAGTACCTAAGAACTACTTGGCAGCTGCAATTCAAATCGAGGATTTGATTGTGGTCTCAATGAGCTCTAGTTAATAGGAGCACTGGTGGGCGTTTGGACATTATGGAACATGTCTGTATCTTTTTTTTTTCCCTCTTGCAGTTGATATAATTTCTGTTTTATTGAAAAATTCCAAATCATCTCAATTTGAGAAATGAAAATAGATTCTGACATATCTGTTGAAGCAAATTACCTGAAATATCATACACTAAGCAGATAATTTGATGTCCAAAAACTGTGGACATCTACAGCTAAAACTAGGTAAAACCAGGAGTAGTAGGACCTAAAAACATAGGAGTAGCGTGTGCTACCGAGTGACACCTTTTATAGATCTATGTCCTTAAAAAGGTACTTATTCCTTGATGTAGTAGATATTAATGCTATAATTCATATAAGTGATAAGACTGATATTCATGATTCAGCATTCAGCGTTCCTCATTCATTTCTGATACAATGTCAATCAGTGGTAGCAATATAAGGCAACTCCAAGTGTTACTTTTCGCTGTTCTATATTATTAACATATTTGTCTGAATTTTTGAAATGGAATGTAGTTTTTGATAATATAAAAGATATTTAATAACTTAAATTCCAGCTGTAGCAAATTAATTATGCTGTACATTCAAATGTCTTAAGACTGAACTTTTCATTAACTTCTGTGGGTGTTCTTGGCCAAATGGACAAAAGTATGAGGCATAATAGCCCTGAGAGTGTGTGTAGAATACTGATGAGCCTGTACATTAGTGAACCACTCATGGATACAGAGGACTGTACAATGATCCTTGTTTGTCTTTGGTAAAACAGATTAGATTAATTTATTGATAGAAATGTTAATCTCGGTACGTCAGATGTGCATTTTTTCTATCTATATGGATGCAAATTGTCCCAGAGCCTCTTGCTTTAAAAGTAGAAACTAGTTTTTAGCTAAAGAATAAATTATTGGACTATTATAACTTGATGAATTTTTGTTACATATTATTGTCCCTTAATTGTGTATGCATAAGAAATGTAAGTAATACTTGACACATTTCGTGACACTAAAAAGCAAAAGCTTAGGTAATAAAACAGCAAAACTGACAAGATTTTAATAAAATATGTATTATTTTTGTAATGATACTGCAAGCAGATATGTGTCTAGTATATTTGTGACTGAAACAGAAAACTGGTATCTGAAAGCATGTATTGAAAACAGGAGATTTCAACTCCTTTGATGTCTGAAGACAGTATTTATTACAAAGCAAAAATAATTGGTTTTGATATCTTAAGATTTTATGTCTATATATTTTTATATATTGAGTTATTCCTGATCAGCATACACTGATGCTCTGAATGAAACTGGAAGCAACATGTGTCGTGTACAAAAATGTATCTGAAAGTATGGGACTCTTCCCAATTGTTCTGACTCTTTTTTGGTATGGGTTAAACGTGATGCGAAACTAATATATACTGACCTTAGAATCAGAGAATCATAGAATTGTTTAGGTTGGAAAAGACCTTTAAGATCATCAAGTCCAACTGTTAACCTAGCACTGCCAACTCCACCACTAAACCACATCCCTAAGCACCACATATACATGTCTTTTAAATGCCTCCAGAGGTGGTGACTCAACCACATCCTTGGGCAGCCTGTTCCAATGCTTGGCAACCCTTTCGGTGAAAAAACAAATTCCTAATATCTAATCTAAACCTCCTCTGGTGCAAATTGAGGCCATTTCCTCTTGTCCTATCACTTGTTACTTGAGAGAACAGACAGACATCCACCTTTCTACAACCTCCTTTCAGGTAATTGTAGATAGCTATAAGGTCTCTCCTCAGCCTGCGCTTCACCAAGCTAAACAACCCCAGTTACATCAGCCACTCGTCATAAGACTTGTGCTCTAGATGCTTCACCAACTTCGTTGACCTTCTCTGGACATGCTCCAGCACTTCAATGTCCTTCTGGTAGTGAGGGGCCCAAAACTGAACACAGCATTTGATGTGCAGCCTCACTGGCACTGAGTACAGGAGCACGATCACTTCTCTACCCCTGCTGGCCACACTATTTGTGATGCAAGCCAATATGCTTCTTGGCCACCTGGGCACACTGCTGGCTCATATTTAACTGGCTGTTTACCAGCACTGCCAGGTCCTTTTCCACTGGTCAGCTTTCCAGTCACTCTTCCGCAGAACTGCAGTGTTCCATGGGGTTGTTGTAACTCAAACGCTGGACTCAGCACTTGGCCCTGTTGAACCTCATACAATTGGCCCCAACCTGTTGATCCAGCATATCCAAGTCCCTCTTTTTCTACCCTTCAGCAGATCAACACTCCTGCCCAACTTGGTGTCATCTACAAACTTATTGAGGGTGCACTGGATTCCCTTGTCCAGATCATTGGTAAAGTTAATAAACAGAGCTGGTTCCACTGCTGAGCCCTGTGGAACACCAGTTGTGACTGGCTGCCAACCTCGTTTTAACTCCATTCACCACAACATTTTGGGCCCAGCTGTCCAGTCAGTGTTTTACCCAGCAAAAATTAAACCTGTCAAAGCCATGAGCAGCCAGTTTCTCCAGGAGAAGTCTCTGAAAAATTATGTCAAAGACTTTACTAAAGTCTAGGTAAATAACATTCACAGCCTTTTCTAACACTGAGCGGTCAACATTTCATAAAAGGAGGTCAGGTTAGTCAAACAGGACCTGCCTTTCATAAACCCATGCTGACTGGGCCTGATTGCCTGCTTCTCCTGTACATGTTGCATGAAGGCACTCAAGATTATCTGCTCCATAACCTTCCCTGGCACCGAGGTCAAACTAACTGGCCTGTAGTTCCCCGGATCCTTCTTCTGGCCCTCCTTGTAGATGGGCATCACATTTCCTAACCTCCAGTCAACTGGGACCTCCCCACTTAGCCAGAATGGCTGCTAAGTCATTGAAAGTGGCTTGGTGAGCCCTTCTGCCAGCTCCCTCAGTACACCTGAGTGGATTCCATCCAGTCCCATAGACTTGTGTGTGTCTAAGTGTTGTAGCAGGTTGCTAACCATTTCCCCTTGCATCATGGAGTATTTATTCTGCTCTTTTTCCCTGTCTTCCAGCTCAGGCAGCTGGGTACCTGGAGAACAAGTGGTCTTATTATTAAAGACTGTGACAAAGAAAGTATTAAGTATCTCAGCCTTTTCCTCATCCTTTCTCACTATATTCCCTCCCACCCCATGTCCAATAAAAGACAGATAGTCTCCTTAGTCGTCTTTTCTTTGCTAATGCATTTATAGAAATGTTTTTTATTGTCCTTTATGGCAGTAGCCAGATTAATGCCCTTCCACTTTTCTCCCTGCATAACTCCACGACACCTTTGTAGTCCTCCTGAGTTGTCTGGCCCTTTTTCCAAAAGACATAGACTTTTTTTTCACGAGTTTCAACCAAAGCTCTCAGTTCAGCCAGGCTAGTCTTATTCCCTGCCAGCTCATCTTTTGGCACATGGGGATGACCTGCTCCTGCACCTTCACGGTTCCCTTCTTGAAGAATGCTCAGCCTTTCTGAAATCCTTTGCCCTTCAGGGCTACTCCCAAGGGGCTCTGTTAACCAGTCTCCTAAACAGACCAAAGTATGCCTTCCAGAAGTCCAGCATAGCAGTTCTGCTGACTTCTCTCCTTAATTCTCTAAGAATCTAAAACAATCATTACGTGATCACTGTGCCCCAGACAGCCTCCACCTGTCATATTACCCACAAGTCTTTCTTTGGTCGCAAACAACAGGTCCAGTGGGGTGCCTTTCCTAGTTGGCTCCCTCACCTCCTCTGTCAGGAATTTCTCTTCCGTACACTCCAGGAACCTCCTAAACTCCTTCCTGTCTGCTTTATTTTATTTCCAGCAGATGTCTGGCAAGTTTAAGTCCCCCACAAGAACATGGACTAGCAATTGTGAGTCTTCTCCTAGCTGCTTATGGAATATTTTATCTGCCTCTTCATCCTGGTTGGTTGGTCTATAACAGATTCCCACCTTGATATCTGCACTGTTGGTCTTCCGTTTGATTTTAACACATAAACACTCAACTCTGTCATCACCATCATCAAGCTCTAGACAATCGAAACAGTCCCTAGCATACAGGGCTACCTCACCACCTCTCCTTCCTTGCCTGTCTCTTCTGAAGAGTTTATAGCCATC